TTTACTGCTTTATAATATTAGTGTAGATATCACATCTTAGCTCTTAGTTACACTTGTAGTAACGTTAACACCGAGACAGTTGCATCTCATTTACAAGTTGCACAATAGTTCTTGCAAATAATATAGATAAAACGAATCTTTACTAATTTGTGGTTTTGGTTGAAAACTGGAATTATCTATACAGATAAATAAAATTGAAGTGTCTGTTTGTAATGTATATATGTTGAATTATATACACTATTTAAAAGAAAAACACAATTTAAAAAAACATTGTCTGTCTGTCTATCTGTCTGTTCCAGCTAATCTCCGAAACGGCTGGGTCGATTTTGACGGGACTTTCACTGGCAGGTAGTTGATGTTATAAGGAGTAACTTAGGCTACTTTTATTTCAGTAAAAGAATTAAGGTTCCGCTCAAAAAAATTAAAATGTACCTAGGGACGAACCCAAGCGAAGCGAGGGCGAGTCGCTAGTTATTCAAAAAATGCTTGGCAAGCGTAGCTTGAATGCACGCAGTTTTACTTGTATGACGCGTGGGCATATTATTATGGCGGAGCATTAGTCACAATACGTATGTAGGCAATTGACATTTGGCGAATTCGATTTTTTCTTTAACTTTGATAAATAGCTTTTGTATTACAGTTTGTTATTTGTCACTGGCTATATATACATATCTGGTTAACGCTGTTTTTTACTTAGTACGTCACGGGGTATGAAATATTTTTGTATTTATGTGATAAGAACTTTTGTTTTCAAAGTTCAGCTCAACAAAGAGACAGTTTCGGAGAACGGAAACAGGTATTAGTAGATCTATTTTTTACAATATATTATATATACACTGGAAAAAGTACGATACAGGGATAATTCGATCTGGAAGAAAAGATAATATTGCAAAGTTACTTATAATATTATGCATCTTTGCCAAACGTGGGTCTTTAATTTCGCAGCACGTTTGGTTTACGTTTTTTATTGAGATGTTAACTACGTTTGGTTTATTTCCTACCTTAAAAAGTTTTAAAATACTCAGCAATTTTTTAAAGTAATTTTTTTTACTGAATATAAAAATATTGTTTATGAACAACACAAAATATTACTTAAAAATATATATTTTAAAAACGTCCATAAAAAGAATGAAATAAAAGATTATAAGATAAATATTTATATTTGTTTTTCCTTTTTAAAATAATATTTTTTATAATTTTTCCTTAACATTTAAGAGAAATAACTAATAGGTAATTATTACTGTTATCGGATATGGTAATTTCTACGAAGAAAAACAATTTTATGACAAATTTTATAATGAATTTGTCGACTTCATACATACGAGTATGTTCACTCATCCTCATTTTTAGTAAACAATACATATTGCAATACGCTTAGTTGAATTATAAATTATAATCGATATAATGTTTTTTTTTGTGAAAGGTATTTTTACTGTATTATAATATAAATCGAATGCGCTTTCAACATTCTATGCTTATTTTTTTATCTTACATTATACGTTGTATTTACTAGTGACGCGCTCTCGCTCGGTCAAGATCTCTAGGTAAAGAGAAACATACATATATATGTACAATGTACATACATATATCGCTCTCAAGGCCTCCAAATAATACCATATACATATAAAAACAAAGAAAACAATCGAAATACCTATATAGGATGTATTATATATAAAGCTATAGACGGAGTTGTAATTACATCTTTTCCTATGGGAATGAGATACATATTTTCCCGTATCTCTGTCACACTATAGCCCTCCAACTATCCCCATATAAAAAATTACATCGACCCGTCGCTCTGTTTAAGCGCAAAAGAAGGATAAACAAATAAAAAAACAAATGAACACATTTTCATGTTTATAAGAGGCCGAAATCGATCAGGAGGACATTTTTATTACTTAAAAGTGAAAGTGATAAGAGTGTTTTAATATGAATGTATAATTTTAATGCTTCAGTGTGGATATATTAAAGGCTAAGTATCTTACTAATAATATAAATGTGAAAGTTTAGACGGATGTTTGTTACTCAATTACGTCAGAACGGCTGAACGGATCTGGATGAAATTTGGCACAGAGATAGATTATAGAGATTATATTCTGGAACATAGGCTACTTTTTATCCCAGAAAAATGTACGGTTCCCGTGGGATAGATTTGTTTTTTTTTTCTAAAGGCGAACCCGAGGAAAGCGAGGGTGAGCCGCTAGTATGTCATATTTTTTAAAGTCCATGACTTGGTTCCAGTGCGTTTTATTATATGTTATATGTCACGATAAGTTAGGAAATCATCGAAAATTATAAAATAATATTTAAATAATTAATTATTAATGAGATCGCTCAGCGTTCATAGGAACGCTACAGGACATACAAAATATAGATTTTTTTATAGTTTAATTTAAATATTTACGTAATGAGCACATTGCGCGTCGTGAAGAACATTCTTTCGCTAGGGTTAATAAATTGTTTTACAAATAAAAGTGTGACTGTGAGTTAGAGTTATAAGTAAATAATACTGTGGTTATTTAATAATAATATCTAAGTTACAATGAATTAAACTTAATAAAATGTTACACTGAATTTAATTAATATTAAAAAGTATACGCGTAGGAAATAATACAAATTCGGTGATCTTAAAAACTACTTTCTCCACAGACTGACTTCAAAATATTTTTGGGGTGAAAGTATTCTTTTAGCCTTATTTAGAATACTAGCGACTCACCCTCACTTCGCTCGGGTTCGTCACTAACGGGTTTTAACGATTCGTATGGAATAGATAAACTACATATATGTACTTAGGTATAATGGGTTGTTGTGGGTAATAACGTGTGTTTCCGTGAGAATGAGATAATCACCCTTGGTACTCGTAAAAAGTAGCCTATGTCACTGTCCAGCCTTTCAACTATCTCCAGACAAAAATAACGCCAATCCGTCACTCTTTTTCGACGTGTAAGAAGGATAAACAAACAAACACATAAATGTAAGTAAATAAATAAATATGTAGAGACATTAACACACAGCACCATCTAGTTCCATGGTAAGCTACGAGGCTTCTGTTATGTATACCAAATAGTTGATACACTACACATATAATTCTAAATACATACATATTATACCTCAGTCCCCAGCGGGACTCGAACCCGCGACCGCTGGCATAGCAAGTAGAGCACAGCATAACAAACTGAGCCAAACGTGTCGTCAATAATAGTACATAGGTATATCTAATCCGAGACGATAAAAGCTGGATTATAAATGAAAAACAACTGTAATAATAATGACTTCACTCAAGCTTTCTTAAGAACCGGGCTCCTTTGAACCTATAAACATGATATTTAATAATAATAATTTACATTTGATATAGAATGTTCATAGTACTATTTAAAACTATCATCGTAGCCATTGCTGTTTACTGTATACTTATAGGAATTTGATACTAAATAAATAAGTTTTAAAAATTTCCAACTTACTTTTTTTTCAAAATAGCGAAATACGTTTATACTTATTTATACACACTAAATATAGATCACTAATCAATATATTTTAAAAAAAAAATTGTGGTAATTATAATAATTACAGCTAAACTTAAATAAATCATATTCCTTATATATAATATAATTATAAAACTAATTAAAATTATAAACATGTTAAAAGTTAAAAAATATTGTATGGTACTTTGGTGCCATTTTTCAATCTTTTGAATATTTTTGTTATTTGTGGGTAGGCTGTCTGTAACAACTATAATTATATACCTTTGAGTCATCTAACACCTTAGTCTCTCCCGTGACTATGATTGCTGTAAAGCATTCGAAACGTCGGGAACCAAAAATCGAAATAAATCCGCGAAAAAATCCGAAAAGATAGTTTTATTTAAAATGTCAAATATTCGCGTATATCTAAGAAAGTATTATTACATATGTTATTAAATATGAGACCAGAATATTAATATTGACCGTTAGACAGAGTGATTGATAGAAAAAATGGAACACTGAATGAATGTGTGAACTGAATGAAGGTGACTGGTTTAATATTAAATAAGTAATAAATAAAACTATCTAATTTTCGGCGGATTTATTTTTATTTTTGGTTCCCGACATTTATAATCTACACAGTTGAGACCTTAAAAACCTTAGACCTTCCATAGCCATGATTGTTATAAAGCATTATAATTAAGACAAAAGAATCACAAAAATAAGAACAAAAGAGAAAGAAATCAAAATAATTTATTTAAAATGTCACATAGTCGAGTAAATCTAAGAAAATATTAAGTATTAACTAAAAGTTTAATATATTAAAAATATATTATAATATTGAGTATATTATATAATAAGGAAATTGGTGTCAAATTATTTTGTATATTGTGTATAATTAAGTATAACTGTACCTACATATTAAATAATATCAAATTATGAGGAAATTGATATACAATAAAAGATGACACAATCATAATTGATTAGGTACATTCTGTGTATCTGTAGGTAAAATTATTATGACTAAGTAGGCTTTTTTAGGCTTCATTATCGTACAAAACTTTACATTTTTAATATAAAGTCTTAACTCGTTATATTGTTTCCCACGTTACAAAGGAGAGTATATTTTTGTTGTTTAATTTGTTGAATCGTTGTTTTCATGGAAGAAGTCAGATTATATGTTGAAAACACGTATAAGCGATACAAACGGACGAAGATCCCACCGACCCCTTTATGTCGGCCGAACTGGGAAGTTCGTCCGGGCGTAGCACTTGATACTGTTCTTCTTTCTTCATTTCTTCATAATTGCTTCTTTGCTTCATTCTTTAGTATTACTAAGGCAAGAATAATTTTGAAAATACTCTACTTAATCTACTTAAAAATAATTTTATTTTGTTATTTTAATATTGTAACAAAATGTATAAAGTTGATAAAAGTAAATTACCTAGTTTTATTTAATAGGCATTTATTTAAAAGTAATTTAGATTTATATATTTAAAGCATACATTACAAAGTGATATAAAACAGAAATAAGTTCACCTGTAATAAGAGTGTATGATAATGAGTGTCTTCAGAGCGGGTCTGCCTTCCGTCGACCTTCGTTTGGCGCGAAGCGAGTGAGCGATTGTCTGAGCGCGGTGCGGCGCCGGCGTCGGCGGTGAACGAACTCACCTTGACAAATGCACCATTTGGCATTGTTCGCGGGAAAACCGGCGGCCTTGCGCCTCGCCGTGCCGCCGCACCGCGCCACCGTCGCACCAATGGCGGGCCTTCGCGCCACAGCCTGCGCGTTTTGGCGGGAACCACTCTGTGACTCTGCCCATGCCCCGTCCGCTCTCGTTCGCCGCTAACGCCTCGTGTCATTACGGCTCGCGCGCTTTCAGCGTGACCTTTCTACACGTCATCTGCCTCTTATACTCCGAAAAGTTACTTCGATGTACATATATGATAAACTCTCACGCGCATAGCAACACTTAATTATATTGTTTAATTACGAAAACAAGGCGTTGCCATTTAGACCAATTAAACAATTAATAGTGTGCATTTTGCCATGAATAGATAATGGATATCTATCCATTCACGGTCGAGTGAATTTTATGCTACTTAATGTATATGTAGGCGTATAAAAATATAATATATAATACGTATTTATAAAGCCTACAAGACATTCTTTATTATACTATGACTAATCTTACATATACATGAATTACTAGCACATCCTAACTAATCCTAAATTCTATTCACTTTTATTTTAATTTATAAAAAGATATAGCTAATTAACAAGGCACAATAGTGAAATAATAAATACATTGCACGTATCATGACACAGTATAATTCTTTTACTAAAAGTATTTGCATGTCAAGCGATCTTTTTGATATAATTTATACATATATTTGCATATGTTTTTACATATTGTATCGTGTTACAAAATTTCACGTCGACAAAATTAATTAGAATTATATCAATATGTTTACGAATATAGAAATATCCATTTTATGAACAAAATGGCGGATGCAAGTTAGAAGTGTGACGTAATAATCGCGCGCGCTGCTATCAGCCGCCTTTCGTAGAAATTTGATATGGATAATAATGAATAATAGCCTTAAGTTACTTTTATTACATATTTTTGTCATTGTAAGATATTCATACAATGTGTAATATGATGCGTGTATATATATGCTTATATTTGCTATTTTCTTAATTTTTATATGTTCTACTTTTAGTTAAGGATATATTTATATATCATATCGTAAAATGTATGGCATACGAGGATAATTATATTTGATAAATCATTTTTAGAAAATAGGTGCTCATTTTTAAGAGAATAAATTAATACATTTGTTTTTCCCAACTGTTGCTTTAAATCTGTTAATTAAAATTAGAAGGAATAAGTATGTATATATGTATGTATGATTATAAATGTAGGTGTAGGTATGAATATAAATAACTCAGCTATTTAATGTGTCCTTTCACCAGATATTTTTTACAGAATTAAAAAAAATCATGTGCGTGTGTGCTATCTAAGAATATTCGTAAAAGTTATTTAAACGTTGGTTTACCGCGCAAAATATTTTATTATTAAATTATAATCATAATATTACTATCCATGAACAAGTATTATAATATTATTATTTTAAAATAATAATTATGGTATAAATAGTTTTATTTATTTCAATCATCATTTAATTTGTTATGATAAAGACCTACGAGCAGGTGCTACGTCGTAGCATATTTAACATTATTTAATGGGAGAAAGATAAGAAAGTTAATATTTTGATAATTTAAATATTACTTAAAGTATAAAAAGTTTTCTTATTTGTAAGGATAAAAGAAAATAATAGCCTAATTTATGTATGCTTTTATTGTAATATAGGATATTTGATAGGTAGGTATATATTATGTAGACAGTGTACCTTAAATTCGTGTTAGTTTTTTGTGATCTTACATTAATCAAAATTCTCTGGAAATCATCATTCGCAAGACCTACGGTAGTTTGCATACACACTCATAGATTCTTATCTCAATGGAAGGTAGAGGTATCTAATTAAAGTGATTTTTTAAAAATATTTTAACGGAAAGAAGCTAAAAATTAAATGAGCGATTTTACTAACAAAGTATAGAAAAGACAAAGACACAAAATAACATAACTTTGGTTTGTCTTTAAGTTATATACTTTGAAAGGGATTTTTTTGAATATATCATGTAGTTTATATTTATTTAACTGTTACTCTATGGTTAGAACCATTTTTACGAGGTCGGTCGGACAAAACAATTGTTATTAATTGTATATTTGCCAACCGGTCAAATATTTTTACCGGTTTCCTAAGTGCCTCACGTACAGAGGGAACCTAGGTAGCCATCAATTTATGCGTTTTAGGTTGTATTAATATTTAGTGGATTTAAGCGTAAAATATATTGATAAATTATAAGTAATAATTTTATTTAGGTATACTTTAGTTCACGTAAATATATCTGTAAAAAATATAATATCAATTACCTTTCAGTAAAGTTGATGAAAAAAATTATTATTATTTTTTCATTATATTGATAAAGTAAATGATGATGGCCTCTTTATAATTTCATAATCTTGTTTATTACTAAGCCAACAATTAACTAATAATGAAATAATTCGATGATGCAAAGTATCTATACATATAATAAAATTGTAACTTAGCCGAATCTGTACATTAAATATTTTTTGGAAAATCTTATTGAAATAGACATTATTATCGATACAGAGGCCGAATCTATAATTTTTAGAATTTTTGTCTGTCTGTCTGTATGTCTGTAACCGCATCACGGAAAACCCACTGGAGGGATTTTGATGAAATTCGGTAAGATGATAGCTGGTTATCCGGGTCAACATATAGGATACTTTTTACCGCGGGAAAATATACAAAAACTGCATTGTAAAAGTATACTAACTAATATGTAAAACCTAAGAATTTGGTTTTTGGTCATCTGAACGCGGGCGGAGCCGCGGGCAATGCTAGTATAAAAATAAAGGTTATTTTTACATCTATACTTATTATAAAAATAAGTCCCCCGGCCGCGTCTTTCTGTCCTCCTGTCTGTCCTCCTGTCTGTCCTCCTGTCTGTCTGTACGCGATAAACTCGAAAACTACTGAACGGATTTTTATACGGTTTTCAACAATAGAAAGAGTAATTCTTGAGGAAGGTTTAGGTATATAATTTATTATGCTTTTATGTAAATTAGCTGAAATACGGCGACAAATGTTGAAGAGGTCGCAAAAAATCTCGCCAAATGGGAACTTTCCACGCGAACGCCGCGTAAACTAGCAAAGATACAGTTAAGTAATGTACTAGAGAATTCAAAATCTATAAAAATGCTACAAAAAAGTCCGCGATAGCATATCTCTATCTCTTACGGTTGACTTACAATAACCACTTTTATGTTAACATTTTTAATTAAAAACATTACGTTATTTTCAAAGTTATTTTCTTTAGTTCGGTATTAATCCTTATCCAAATGAATATTTTAGTTAGCTTAGTCATTTAATGCAGATTAAAATTGCTCTTTACACTAAATCAATCAGATGAATAGTTTTTGAGATATCGTTGTTAGAAGTAATTAGTAGCGAAACATTTTTAATGCTTGGCGAGCATTGAGATGCCTACGGCGAGTCCATCCCCTCTGCCCCGCATCGCTCGACCGCCTGCTCAAGCTATATAAACCGGGCGATGTAGCGCGCGATCCTAGGATACTTTTTACCGCGGGAAAATATCTTATTTCTGAGGAAAAATACAAAAACTGCAATGTAAGAGTATACTAATATGTAACACCTAAGAATTTAGTTTTTGGTCATCTGAACGCGGGCGGAGCCGCGGGCAATGCTAGTTTTATATAAAACTTAGCCAACTTGTTTTTAATGTAAAGATCTTGAAAGCTTCTATATTTGTATTCGTCGGGATATACCTAACAATCATGTTGCCAGGTAATAAATAAGATACAACCTCTACCGACAGGTTCGCAGAGTGACTCATAAATACAGGCTGTGCGGCGCATCATCAAAAATTCAAAATATTTTCTATTAAAAATATCATAGCGTGCTTTGTGGTTTGAAGTTATTTATTTTATAAACAAAGCTAATAAACTCTATCTTAATTTACAACATCATATTTATTTGAATACTAATTTTCTTCCAAAAAAATCTATGACCCTATATAAGCTATATACACATAAATGACCTAAATTAATTTTTTGTCTAAATTGAATTAGAATCATTAATGAAATGTTTTTGTTCTAACGATAATTTTATGTTGAATTATTACTTATTATTTATATGTATGTTTTTGGATAGCGGATAATATATTTTTGTAAATTGTCTTTATTTATTTTATACAATCTATTTGACGAAAACTATCACTGCAATATAATAAAGCGAGTGACCATGTAACTTCAACGGGTTTCGTCGAGATGAGTCAGGTGTCGTTCACCCGATGCGCGTCACAAGTTTCGCCTGTAATTATATTTTACACCATTTTTTATTACATTTACATTCTCAGATCTATAATCCTTTCTTATATAGATTAATATTTGATATTGCTATGTAAATTTATTGTATAATTTTCTATTATAAATGATGACAATATATTTTTACTGAAAATTTTTAAGGTAACATATTAGTATTTTAAGATTCGTATATCAATTTACTTTAATTAATTTGTACCATCAAAAATTAGTTTGTAAATAATAGTTATCTATTAAGATATATAATATTAATATGACAACCCATATAATTCCCCGCGGTTCCACTAACGATACATGTACGTCCGTAATGTTCTTACTATTCAATTTATAAAGCATAATACCATTACGTACTGTATTTTTAAATCATGTAAACCTTTTTTTAACAGCATGAAAAAGAATCGAGCACGATCACTTATATATTTTTGCATATTATATATAATAATAATCAGTATGTTGTTTCAGCTTACCGTCGTCCACTATGTCAATCATTCCAGTTTTGGGCAACCCACATTCACCCACTGCCGCCTTTTTGCAGGGCGTCCTACACTACATAAGCAAAAAATGGGTCTGCAATCTAACACATGATCGTTTCGAGACATCACTCAACCACTTCCACTTCAGCGTACTAATTCTGCGCGCAATATTTGTGACTACTGCCATATGACTTCAATTCGAACTCTACCTGCCAAAGAAATCCTAGGTATAACAAGCTCAATTGCTCTTTGGGTGACCTTGAATTTGACTGCGTAAGTCATTACAGGCAAGAGGGAATAGTATAGAGTATACCTAGACTTTGAGACCGACAAAGCAAACATTCTTTGAGAGAATTTATATTGTATAGAAGTGAAGAGTCGTAGCTACTATGAGTTACTCTGTATTCTACTTTAACGTCCTTAAGGAAAAAATAATTATTTCAAAAGGGGATATTGAAATTTGGCGTCCTCAATAGAGTCGTGGTTAAAATGTAATTATCAATGAATATGTATTAGAATGTATCCGGAATATGAGTCATTGTGTTTGTTCGACTTATGATTTCATATTAAAACATTATATATGTAGTTACGCCGGCTGATACTTTTCTATGTATATTATTTAAATCTTGTTTTGATACTATAGTATATATAATTATACTCGTAGTATATATAATTATACTCGTAGTATATAGATTCAAAATTTTACACAAAAATAATTTACTACTTAAAAAATAGAGCACTATTTCCATAGGTTTAACATTTAGTGTTTATCAAATTATGCTCTAAAGTCCATTTAAATCCGTGAAAAAATTAAAAATTCCAAATGCCAAGTAGCAATTGTTTAAGTTTCTAAAGTAAGTCTAGCAATAAACAATACACAATATTTATTAACAACAAACAGTAAGTAATACATTAAACAAGTATTTTTTGGTATGATAAATAAAAAAAAATATTTTATTTTAAACTGAGGCTCAAATAAATATTACCTACTTTTAAACATTTTCATACTAATTAGTAATTACAATTACATAGATCATGTTCCTGATATATATTTATAATTGCGATATGGCATCTGCCTTTGTCGCAAGCCATTGTAATAATAAAACATTTTGCCGCTTAAATATATTATATTTTATTGTTTAACATGACATAGTTTCACCTTACATTTATAACTATACGAACCAGTAAATTAGTTTACTATAGCAATTCTTTATCTAGGAGTATGCAATATGTGTTTGTTAAAAATATCATAAAAACTCATGAATAATAATTTTAATTATATATATGTATATTAAAAATATGCCACGAGTAATATTTGAATTTGAATATTAGTCATGATGACATTTAACAATTGCTAACGCTAATAGAAAACAAAAAAAATATGGCAACGTTATCGAGGTATTTAGGCATTATATAAAAGAATCATCAGTCGAGAGTTACACAATAAAATATAAAACATTTAAGCGGCAAAATATTTTATTATTACAATGGATTGCGACAACGGTAGATGCCATATCGCAATTATAAATATTTCATACTCGTCATGTCACCTCTACTGGTGACAGGAAAGCTGGATATTTTTTCGCCCAAAGAACGGCAATGCCATTCAGCGGGGGAATGCGCCTTGCCTTCTTGCCACTATTCCACGCGGACATGACTTGTACAGTAGTAATTAAGTGTACTTTTGTTTAATATACATATATAATTAATTACATTTGTAATTTTCCTTAAATATTTTGCATAATTTGGTATTTTTTATTGCTTGTCAACCTACATATAATCTATAGAAGTACATATATATATATATTTAAAAAAACCTACTAATTTAAAATAATCCTTGTTTTTTCTATTCAATTTGTTTTGTCTGTTCTTAATAATAATTAATATGAAATAATATATAATGAATTATTATTAAGTGCTAATGTTAGTTAAAATTTTAATAAATAAAATTAAGTAATGTCCTAAAATAGCCCACTTGAGTGGACCTCAGTTTTAATAGCTTAGTTCAGAGAATAATCTATACATAACATTGACCTCTTTGCCGGCGTCCTTCCGTTTATTCAACCACCACTCAGTATTCAGCAGACGGCTATTGACTAAATGATTTCGTATGCTCACGTCGTAACCTGACTGTATGAGTTTATGGAATTATTAGCACGTCGATGAGAGCCTGATGCCTATTTATAAAAACATAATAAATTAAGAAATAGCTAAGCGCTATGTTTCATATTAATGAAAACTAGTTTTTATCATAGGTATAGGAAAATATTTTTTAAATTTATGATATGTATTGATTTTTTTAAAGTGCAATAAAGAATAGTATATATAGTATATATCTCTTGTTGCATGTTTTTAATAAATAATATCTCTATTCCAATGTTTACTTCATATAAGTAAAAAATGTTACTTTCAGAATTTTATTTATGTCCACGTTAATCTAATTTTACCGGCTGTTTGAAATATTAATAATATTTTGCCTATTTATAAGTACGTATATTTGATTATAAAGAATTAGTAGGAGACTGTGATAGGATGTATTTAATTTCAACTTAAATTAAATTTGTAAAAGCAGGAACACAACTCACATATTTTATTATCATGTTTACAATATTCATTCCCACTTATTTCTATACACAGCTTTATTTGCACAGTAGTAAATCTGAAACAAAAGAAAACATTTATCAGTAAAATATTATGTAGCATAAAATGAAATAGTAATTCAGCGAAATTTGCACATAAAATATTTAAAAAAAAAAACTATTACTGTAACCTATTTGGGTATATCTGTTTGCCTGTATATCATCTACACTACCGTGTCAAAAGTAAATAGACACCTATAAATATATCATTTTTTTAAGAATACGCAATCGGGTGGTTCTGAGAAAATTATTGAAGTATATGGGGTCTAAACCTAATTTATTAACACTATACTCAAAATACCGTGTATATCTGGGACGTTAGAATTAACCGATTTTACTCGAGAGTGTATTGTCGGCCAATTTGGAGGTTGTAAGTCTGGGCTCTAAATCAGGGCCAGATTAAATGTGCCTTTGTCAATTGTTAATTGGAAAATCATGCAACTCAAAAGAGATAGAACGACAAGCATTTCGCCAAAATCAGGAAGATCTGAGCCGTCTGCCAGGCAAAAGAGTGCGGTACTTCAAAAAATCTTGCGAAATCCCGAAAAATCTGTGGATGATGTGGCTATATCTTTAAATAGGTTGGGTCAAACTATTCAGAAGTATTTACACATTATTGATTTTTATAAAAGAGTAGCCAAAAAGAAACTTTTGTTGACAAAATTTCCAAAAATGCGAAGATATGATTAGTCACAGGATATTATATCTAAGGATGGTGAACTTTTCGAGGCATGTTATTTTTTCAGACGAATCGGGATATTCAGTTTAGCAACAACGGAGTAAAATGGACGTGACGTCGTGCAGTAATGTAGTTGGATAACCGATTTTTGCAACATACTGTAAAAAAGACCGGAATAAGTGTTATGGTTTGGGAGGCTAGTTGGTATGGTGGAAGAAGTGGCCTGGTTTTCTGTGATGATAAAATTAATACGGAAAAATATACTAATATTCCAAAGTAAGATCTTTCTACCCATCTTTCGACGTATTAATTTGAATTGCGAAGAATACATTCTCATGGAAGATGGTGCATCATGTTATAGAGCTCAAAAACGACTGTCTGGAACTCTCAAAAAGGTCTTACAATTCCACCATGGTCAAATCAATCACATGATATGAGTCCAATTAAGAAAGTTTGGCACCTTTTTGCAGTTGATTTTAGTTAAAGAATGGGTTAATTTACAAACAAGAGCCGATCAATAAATTGAATAATACTATATAAGCTAAAATAAAATAGTTGTTTTATAATAAAGGAGGATCGACACGATACTAATAATCATGCATTAGTTTTTTAATTAAATGTTTAGTTTATGATGAAAAAAAGGATTTCATTAAAAATGCCCTGTCTATTTACTTTTGACATTGTAGTATATGTGCATTTCACGTAAAAAGTACTTAACCGTTTTTAACTAAATTTTGTGTAGTGATAACTTATTACTCGGGTCAACATTTAGGATACCTTTTACTACAAGAAAATCCTTCACTTCCTCAGGAAAACATCACATCTGATTCTGTGGAGTCGTCTTTAAAAAACATGGCTAAACCTTAGGACATCCATCAAATTTCAAAACAATGTACTAAAAATATCTTAATAATGCCTACAGAAAAATCTGCAATACCATAAGTCTTTCTCCTAAAGTAACTCGTAATAACTATTCATATCTACTTATAATAAACCTAAGAACGCGAAATATAATAAGTCGCTAGTTTATTATATTTCTGAAGTTGTACATATCAATTTTATAAGCTACTATTGAAACTATTACATAGAAAACTAATTTGTTATAAATATATTAGTTAAATATAACATTATAAAGTACCTATACAATAAATTGTTACGCTTTTCGAAAACCGAAAAACCTATTTGTAATACTTTAAATTTTAAAATGAATGACTTGCATGTTCATTTATTCCACTTCGGCGAAGTCGAGGCTACCCACTAGTTTTAATTATTCAGTTTAAACAAACAATAAATAACCTATTCTTGAAATGAATATATAATTAGCGGTTTTCTCGGAAGCGCTGGCAGTGCGATACGCATCCAAGTGTCAATTTGATCATAGCTCTAAAGCGGTATGATGTCACCTGAGTAATGAAGGTAGGCTTTTTGCATTATTTATATAAATTGATGTATTTTTACATAAGATTTTAATGTACAAAATTATAACACATACTTAAAAAGTGTAGATTTTGTAAATTCTAATATTATCCTGTAAATTAAAAAAAAAAAGAATCTTAAATACTTATCAGCTAAATTACAACGTAGAAGAAAATGTTATAATTTTAACAAATCCATTTTTAAGTGTGAGAAAGGTTATGATAGTTTTTAAATATGTCCCTGTGTTTTTAGATGTCAAAATAATATGTTGATGCTCGTACAAATGAAAATTAGTTAAGCATTGTTTGGAAATACCCCAAAATCAAAATAGCCTCAAAATCATCGCGTTTGCTTAGAGATTCACAATATCTATAATTACACCATGCGTCTACGATAGCAACGATTTGTACGCATATGAGTGTTGCGCACTGAGATAAATGCACTTAACAAGATAAAGTGCATAAACGCTGCTTTGTTAAAGCAGCGTTTACGCAGTTTCTCTACTACGTTGTTACAAGGAGCTTGATCTTATAGCATAGTATCATAATTTTTTATTATTTTGTTTTCGTTTTAAATTTGACTTTATATCAATAAGTTGTATTGAATACTTAATAAAATTAAAGAAGCTACGTCTTATGGAAAACTGAAATAATACAGGAAATGGTTCAAGTCATCTTCGATCTGCGTATTCAATTTCATTTCACATTTAAATATAATTACAGACCGCTCTATGTTATGTTTGTATATTTACTATTACATACCTACTTGTTTAATTTGGATTTAATTTAGTGCCATATGTAAGTTAAAGACTTCAGTTCTAGTTTCAAGAAATAAACCAGAAGGGGTCCTATCATTAAATATTAACCTACGTATGTGTCATTCATGTTTTACGCTAAATGTAATCGATAAAAATATGAACAATGCCGAGGACAAGAATGATCGTTGAGACAACAGTTATCGTTGCATCACAGTCACAGCTGTGAACAGGTTCGAGCTACATTCCTGAGGGATCGCCAACGTTTCACGCTGAAGGCTAATTACCTTCATGTATGCTTGTGAGGGTACAAAGCGCCATTGAATATGTTGTTATAACAATCTTTTCTATGTTACTTATGTTATATATTAGATATTATTATTTTATTGCTGCGTACATTCTTTAAATAACTATTTCTTTGAAAGTTTTAATAAACTTATATAGTAAATTGTTACGTATCCTCATTTGATCGATCCTAACAACACATAAACACTATGATTTGGAGCCTACGTTTCTTTTATAGTATTAATTTTAAAACTAATTATAACAAGACTTAAATAAAACAAATAATAAAATGGTTTTTTAAGGTTGTTGCGATGCGATGACAATCAATATTTTAAAAATTGATTTTATATCGTCTATTAAAATATAGACATAAATCTTTTTATTAAATAAATTAGGAACGATTGCGTCTTTGATTATCTGTAGTTCAATGTTCTAATTATGAAATTCTCGGCACCATATGATAAATGCATGAACGAATTGTGGCTAATTCGTTTATGGATAAATGATAAGAATATAAATCAAAAACATTACTCGATTTCCTGTCACATCGTTGCTTTCGTGTTTTATCACATCGACTATCTAACATATTTGCATCGGTTGATTTTAAAATTTACTTGGCAATACGGATGCAAAAATATAAATAGAGACTTGATTATCACGTTCCTATCTGTTTACTTGAAATACATATTTATGTTAACAAAAAAAAATTATATGTATGTACATACAAGTATTATATAAAATATTATTTCACGATGTTAGTACGTGGACTGTATTATTTATTAGGAAACATTCTACCTATATTTGTAGAGTTTCTTAAATGGACCTGTGTTGGTCTCATTATCTATACATAGGTATAATAAAATTCTAACTAAGTCGAATCTGTACATTAAATATTTTTTGGAAAATCTTATTGAAATAGACATTATTATCGATACAGAGGCCAAATCTATAATATTTAGAATTTTTGTCTGTTGGTCTGTCTGTTACCGCATCACAGAAAAACTACTGGAGATATTTTGATGAAATTTGGTATGGTCATAGGTTATCCGGGTCAACATATAGGATACTTTTTACCGCGGGAAAATGTCTCATTTCTGAGAAAAAATACAAAAACTGCAATGTAAGAGTATACTAATATGTAAAACCTAAGAATTTGGTTTTTGGTCATCTGAACGCGGGCGCAACCGCGGGCAATGCTAGTCAATCATAAATTTTTACATAATTTATACGTGTAAGTATAACCTATAACAATTTTATGTTAGTAAGTTGGCTTCGACATTTTTAATAATATATTTATTGTCACGTGCCATTCACGGTCAAAAAAATTGGCGCCATCTTTAAAAAGATTTAAGCAATAACACCATTAAACCAAACTGGTTTGTTCAAAACAAAGGTATCAAAAATATTTGACATAATCGCATAAGACTTTTTTGCCTGCATAGTTAGTGTTATTGATAATCGCGTTGACAAGCCTCGAGTGTGCCAATTTTTTCCGGAAAATATAATCGTGTGAGATTTAGTGCACAATTTAGAACATTCCGATCTAAATATACATATGACGGCGCGTGACGCGCTGCAGCTGACGCGGCGCCCACGTCAGCGGTTAGCACCCACTGAATCACGCGCCCAGATACTGCCATCATCGCCGCACCGCTCTACGTTCGTATCAACAAAGGTGTTTCCTTTATTGTGCAGTTCTTCTATTGGGTCTTAATTATTGTTATAATTTGCTTTATATAAGTATGTATCCGGTCAGTTCCGTTTATATATGTACAAACTACAACCGAAGCTTATCGCATATAAAATTCCATATTTTTTTGTATTTTGCTAAAGATTGCGGTTAATAAAAAATTAAAGTGACAGAAGAGCAAGAAAAATTCTACCAAAAATCGATCGATCATATTTTCGTTACTATATTAGAGCTCTACATCTATACTTCATTAATGTATAACTTATATAGTCGGATTAAGTATAATTTAAGCTTTCTTAGAATTAACGACACGTTTGGCTCAGTTTGTAATGATTCTACTAGCTGGGCCAGCAGTCGCGGGTTCGAGTCTCGCTAGGGGCATTCATTTATGTGATGAGTACGAATGCTTGTACTCCAGTCATCGGTGTTTATATATTTTATAATATGTACGTATTTAAAGTAGTATGTGTAATGTATCAACTATTTGGTATCCATATCACAAAACTCATAGCTTACCATGGAACCAGATGGTGCTGTGTGTTAATGTCCCAACGTATTTATTTATTTTTATTTATAATTGTAAAATAAATAAATTAATATTTGAATATCATTATAAATAAGCCAAGGTTTTTTGCCTTATTTTAGACAAGTTTTCATATGAAAACCAAAAAAAAAGTGTTTATTTCATTTTCATGCAATCGTATAGACTATACTATAGAGAACATATTCGTAAAATAATTAACGTAGCAAGACCGTGCACTTGAGTCTCTTCGCAGCAGGCTATCAAAGAGCAAACTGTCTATCTTAATCTGATAACCTATTCTACTCGGCGAAGAAAGTTAATAAACTGATAACGGACTGAAATAGCAATATCTAGTAGTTACGGAGTCGAATGCGCGACACAGAGGATTTATTGTTTCCTTATTCATTACACTTTTTATGTAAAATATACAATGTTACCTCGATACAATTTTTTTGAAATTATACTTCTTTTGGCACGTTTGGTAAAAATTATATATGAGAGTAAAATTTTTACGATGTGCGCGCACACTGAACGCCAAAACGCGACATGATGAAGTTAGCTGCATTCCTTTTACAACAAATATAGCTAAAGATTTCATTCCGTGTGTCACAAGTCTCTGTTGACACTTGTGACATACGGGATGAAATCTTTAGCTATTTTTGTTCTGTTACGCCAAAGAAGTATAACTTCTTACGTGCGTAGATAAGTGCACACACACGTTTTTTTTATCGTTTTGTCAAACTAAGCTCCAATTTACGAAAGAAGAAAGCAAGGCCTTTAGCATTAAAATAATGCAAATAATTTTAAATGTAGTGCTATTATGATTTGAATTCATTAGTGTACTACCTAGCGAGTCAACCTCGCTCCGCTCGGGTTCGTCCTATAGTTACATTTTAACGTTTAGTATAGATTTCTCGGAAATGAGATATCATTAATCTCATCAAATTTCATTAAAATTTCTCGTGATGCTATCACAGACAGCCAGACAGAAAAAAATCTAAACACTATAGATTCGGCTTCTGTATCAATGATAATCACTATTTAAACAAGATTTTCCAAAAAAATATTTAATGTTCAGATTCGACTCAGAATTTTATTATATGTGTAGATTATTATTATTATAAAATAGTATGGAAGTATAATTAAATAATTTCTACAATTCGAAACAGTCAGAATTTTTTTTTTAGATTTTGCATTATCTGTGATATGTGTACTTCTTACTTAATTAAATCTTAATATTTTATATTTTATATAAAATTTTAATCTCCTAATGAGGCTAAAAAATATTACCTGTTAAACATTATTTCTTTCAATTAATGTCCTGTTATTTAAAAATTAACTTAGTGTTTATAAAGCGAAATAATATTTATATTTTTATTACATATTTATGTAATACATTTTATATACTCTACAAATATATATTTAGTTTATTTACTCAATTTATTATGCTATGAATATCAATAAATAATTATTGTGGAGCAAATTACAAATTGACAAATTAGCTTCAATATTAAAATAATATAATGAATTAGCATTGCCCGCGGCTCCGCCCGCGTTCAGATGACCAAAAACAAAATTCTTAGGTTTTACATATTAGTATATTCTTATATTGCAGTTTTTGTTTTTCTCAGAAATTAGACATTCATTCATTCCCACGGTAAAAAGTATCCTATATGTTGACCCGGATAACCAGCTATCATCATACCAAATTTCTTCAAAATCCCTCCAGTGGTTTTTCTGTGATGCGGTAACAGACAGACAGACAAAAATTCTAAAAACTATAGATTCTGCCTCTATATCGATAATAATGTTTATTTCAGTAAAATTTTCCAAAAAATATCTAATGTACAGATTCGGCTTAGTTGCAACTTTATTTTATGTACAGATGAATCAAAGTGCATACTCGTAGATGTATTTGCTTCTGCAGCTCTGATGGCGAACGGCAAACCGGCTCTGTGACTCATTCATTCGGAGTTCGGATCCTCCCTCCTACTGCCTATCTTCTAAACCTTCTTGTTTGAATTGTTAGAATTTACCTTGTCAGTATAAAATAAGAAAACATGTTTAAATTGCTTTTAACGCAAACGCATGTTTTTATATACGTATAAGTAAAATATAATAGATATATATATATATATATATATATTTTATTTATAGTTTGCTTGTTTTGTTATTTATTTTCTGTGTACCTTTTAAATATTAATCGTTACTAATCTTTTATATTAATAAAAATGATGTGCTCTTTTGTTAAATTTTCAAAAAGGTGACTTTATAGTCATAGGGGAAAAAATTGAAAAATAGCATGACAATTCGGTTAAAACTGAAAGTTGGGTCAGTTAGTAATATATATGTAAATGAGAAAATGTATTCGCTTGTTTGTCCCTCTTTTTCATAACAAAAGAACAACAAACCGACTGGATTTTTTTCATAGAGACGTTTTATAGCGAATTTAAACTATATAGGCTACTTTTAACCCGGTGCCTTCACGGAGTGACTCCCGTAGAGTTAATAATTTGTTGCAATAAGTTAAAAAGTACTGAAACAATATTTATAATTTTTATCTTTTAACTTAATTATAATCTATTAAAAGTTACATGACAAACTTCTGTTTTATGTTAATCGTTTCATTTACATGACTCTTGGTAACCGCAATACATTATGCTAAGTTTACAAGTATTGTAAAGCATTACGCTTATAAGGTCACACTTTGTTTCTGGAATATGTAATGGATGACTAATCAACGCTAGGCATTAGCCCGACAAGTCTCGACTTGAAAGCAAGGCGAGCGTCGCTCGGACCTCGCTCGATAACCTCTGCCCGCGTATAAAGCACCTCACAGTAGTAATTTGCTTCGAAATGGATTTACATATTTTAACTTAAAATATACGCTAGTTTTGATACAGAAAACAAATACTATAACTTTCGCATTTTTTATTTAAGTGTGATGTCGGTACATTAATTTTTATTTAAAAATTAGTAACCGCAATAAAACAAAAAATAAGAGAACCTGTTTAAATCTATCTAGTTTAAAATAGGAAATATGATTATCTTGAACCTACTTTGATAATCTCGTCTTTTTTATATCTATCATATTAGGTATATTACAGCGTCACTACGCTAATATTATTATTTTTAATAATTTAATAATTCTATTAGGACAATGTATTACACACATTTTCGATAATAAATGACAAAAGATATTTATAATCGATACATACTCGTATAATAAAATTCTAACTGAATCGAATCTGTATATTAAATATTTTTTGGAAAATCTTATTGAAATAGTTATTATTATCGATACAGAGGCCAAATCTATAGTTTTTAGATTTTTTTTCTGTCTGCCTGTTACCGCATCACGGAAAAACCACTCGAGGAGTTTCGATGAAATTGGGTATGATGGTAGGTGGTTATCCGGGTCAACATATGGGATACTCTTTACTGCGAGAAAATATCTCATCTCTGAGAAATCTATACTAAAGGATAAAACATAACTAGGAACCAACATGAGTGGAGCGAGGGTGAGTTGCTAGTAAATAAATATATTGGGACATTAACACACACCACCATAAGTTCCATGGTAAGCTACGAGGCCTGTGTTATGGATACCAGATAGTTTATACACTACACATATATAGCTTTAAATATATACATATTATAAATATAAACATTTCAAACAAAACAACAATCTTAAGATATAGAACTTGAATGTATCGTCTAAAAATTAAATACTAAAACTAAGAGCAATTGTAAAAGTTGAAAACTCAATACATATTATATTTATTAGTAAATCAAACATTTTTTGGTTTTTAAAAATGCCTTACATACTCATTTTAAATGTGTTTTTTACAATACTTCCATTTTAAGTCCAATTAGTTAAAAATTAAAAAATACTACAAAATGTAGAGTCTAATATGTACATACGTAGTACCTATTTAAAATACGATAAATACGCACCTTCTATTTGAAAAAGATTTATTCAAAAATGTATGCTTTCGCAAAGAGCAAAGAAAATTTTAAAAATTACAAGTATATACATTAAAAGAAATTATAGAAGTAAAGAAGTGAGAAATAAGATTTTTCCAATTGAAATATTTTTTGTGCAAATGTTTTGTATATAATGGCTAATGATTATTTGCAGATATACTGAATTATATGAATTTAAATAATAAGCCAATAACTTAAAGCATTCAGGGTTCAGAAAAAAACGTGTTGAGGCCGAGTAATGACCTCAGGCTAAAACGAGCAAGTGTCCGGCGAAACAGGAATGGACATGTCTCTGAATCAGTTAGCAACGGATGGAGGCAATGCGTTTTGCTGCTGAAAAATAACCATAATGGAAACTTGCTTTAAACTCGATAAGTGCCTTAATTTATTTGTTTTTAATATAAAAATGGTATTATTTTAAAATATTTAACATCTCTTATAATATGGAAAGCTTTATAGAAATATGTATCTATAAAATAATTATTTCGTTTTTTAAATATTATAATAATTATTTGAGTATATTTATAATGTTGAAATAAAATCAATTTAATTAAAAAAATCATTATATAAATTTTCTATATTTTCTAAATGCTGAATAAATGTGGCGAAATAGTTGCTTAATTTATATTTAAAAGTAGTGATTATTTTGCTTCAAATTAGCGTCGTTATCTGTGACATTGCCGCAAAGTTCAGCGATCGGCCTGCGGCGAAGGCGGCGGCGGCGCGGTCGCTCCGCCTTACAATCGCGGCTGACGTCACATGCATGATACGTGTTTTGTACTTTACCTACGTCTATACTTCTGCAATGCATGGTGCATAGACAACGCTTCAAGCTAGTGAAAATCATTAAAGTTGTACTTGACCTTAGAAAATATGTCACTGATAACCCCTCCACCTCAGTAACACGCCGATAATAATTATTTGCATAGTGCAGTAGCAATAGGTTAGAATGCTACAAATAAAATTATTAAAGGACAAGACAGAAATTATTTTTGTTCCAAACATGTGCTATCAGATCTCATCGCTCTTCTGTAATAATATGATGTTTAAATTATTTTAATTAATGTAGAGTTGGCGCCCACGATGTATTATAGGGTGAGAGAATTATGTATAATTTAAAGGCATAATGGAAGGCACGCTTACGTCATAGGAAGCGCTTCTTTTTAATGCTTACTAGTGAAGACCTGGGTACGACGGAAAAAAGAGGAGCGGAAATACTTGTCTGTCTGTCAATGTTGCGACAATGCGCTGCTATTTGTGTTAAACGAGCGATTTATTTCAGTCGGTCGTAGCGTGAATGTCCGCAGCGGAATTTCGGCCGTGAGGAATCCGATTCCGTTAGCTTGATGTGCGAGAGAGCTTGGTACAGCGGAGCCGGCGCGGGTGCCGGGAACTGCGCGGCATGGCGGCGTGGCGACAAACTAGATACTTGTTGCCGGGCAGACGTCGCTTCGCCACCGCGGTCGTCTCTATCGACAAAGCCCTCTCCACCGCCATTATTTGCACAAAAGGAAAATTCGAGATGCCGCTGACTCATCACCTCACTAACGCCGATGTCACATTTCGCTTAGCAACATGATTTAATTTTCCAATTAAAACAAATCGACTTTTCAATTTAATGAAAGTGTCGGTGACAGTGCACTTTTCTAGGTTCTTACCTTGAAAGGTCAAGCACCAACAAGAAAAGGAGTTAGAAGATGACTGACGCTCCAAGTGGAGCTCACACACTGCATTGTACACGTAATATCCAATGGAGAATCACACTACAACGATAGCGAATGGGATGTCACGAGCACACAGCGCTTTGCCGAACGCATGCGTCAACCGAGTCGTCGCGCGCTCACGGAACTGACTGCGCTGGCGTTCCATTTGGGTCACTGTCATATTGTGGAGGGGCGGACATACGTTCGCTTCTGAAATATTGGCGTCTCGCGAATATGTTTCATCAACGCGGGCGTTTTCCCTCCTTGACGCGCACCAATGTGCTTCGCTGTTCAATTTTGCTTGCGATTTTGGCGGCCGCACGACTTTGCATAAAGCCTCACGTTGTGATTATTTTGTTTTAGGATCGTTTGAAAATTTTCAAGTACATACATACAATTATATAGGGTCCAACGATCATATTATAAATTTACTTTATAATTATATGCATTAAGACTTTTGTAATAGATTGACAGTTTTGTTATCGAATATTTGTTATTGCCACGCATTCGAGTGTTTCATGATTAATAATTATTATCGTAAATTCACTTTTTACATTTATATTTTTTGATTTATAAGTTAAACATATTATACATATGCTATGCTATAAAAATATTTGTTTATGTTGTTTTTATAAAGAAGTTACGAAATACATTTTCAATGCTTGTTTATAGCTCTACATTTCTTTTTTAATAGCTATTGGTAATATTCATATTTTTTTCGTTTACAGCTATTATCTTCTTATAGTTTGTTTTTTTCTTATAAAAATATACCATAAAGATAAAAACTATATTGAATCTAACTATGAGTTCAAGACCCAAAACCTATGCCGTAAGAAGGTGTACTCCGTCTTGGTTGGACTTGTAGAGAACACCTAACTTACACCTATATCCTAAGGAATTATATAAATACCATTAAATTTAAATATCTGGTTATTTATATTATTTTTATATGAACAAGTAGAAAAGGAATGGCTATTGGCTAGTAATTATAATATTCACTGTAACAATACGAGGTTCTCTAATATATAACCATAATGTAATAAATGAGATGTCCAGACTGATTGACTGATTCATCAATTCTCAGATAAAATAACTGGACTCAAAAGGCTAAAATTTTGTCAATAGTAATTAATAACAAAGGCATATTTTTTTGGAAAGGATGTCACAAAGGGTAGCAAAATTTATTAAAAAAATAGTGTTTTTGTAGATGAATAACTAGAACCTTAGTAAAAATTATCTTTAATACAGTTAATAAAACTCTTCTTTCAAATAAAATCTCTTAGCAATTTAAGAAGTACCTATTTACACAAAATTTGTAAATTTTTTGTAAGAAATAATATTTCTCTAACCAGGATTACCTACTTTAAATTTAGTATTATTGCTTTTACTTTTTGCTCTACTTCTTCGCCATTAATAAAACAAAGAAAAAAATATTTTTATATTTCTTAATTTTTTTAAGTGTCAACACTATTTATTAAAAAGAGGCCACTCCTTTTGATTGCGTAGATGATTACTCTATAGAATAAATGGATATAAATAAAATGTATTCTCTCTATGTAATTCTAATATATATTTATTGTATACACATAAACTATGGACCCGTGAAATAAGTTCCTTTTTTCCTGATACATCAATTGTTTCCTATCCTTCCACGCTCAATTTCCTTTTTTATTTGCATGATAAGCATTGGGTGTGTATGTATGTATGTATTCAGCCCTTTTTAACTTCCCACTGCTGGGCACGGGCCTCGCTTCAGCCCGATGGGAATCAGGCCATAGTCCACCACGCTGGCCAAGTGCGAGTTGGCGGACTTCACATGTCTTTTGAAAACTTGCTAGGTTCTCTCAGACATGCCGGTTTCCTCACGATGTTTTCCTTTACCGTTAAGACAAGTGGTAATCATGTTGGAAATGATTCGCACATGAAAATATCAGAGGTGCGAGACCCGGGATTTGAACTCACTTCATTCGGTTTCCCAAGCGAGCGCGTTACCACTGGGCTACCACTGCATTGGGTGATGGAAAATAAATGTCATTTTCATATCAAGGTTTTGTACCTTCTTTGTAATCTTATTACATAAATTTTACTATATCTCTGTCTACTTCTATGGTTCCTGCCTCATGAGTCATAGTTATGACACACTTACGTACATACATGTATACGTATTTTATGAATGCTTCCTACTGACGCAGGCGACTTCGTGGACAATAATAAATACGGATATGTTTTATTATGCTCAAATCTATTTAAAAGAAGCCATATCTAAAAATAAGATCATAGCCTTTACATGATAACGATATTATATTTCTCATGAAAACAAGGTTTATCAATTTGTGAATTGAGTGTATCCATACCTACTAATATTATTAAGCGACCTATGTAATAAATAAAAAAAATTAAAGTGTATTTGTTTGTTTGATAATAGAGATAGTTGGAGAGCTAGAGAGTGACTTACTTATTACGTTTTTACCGCGAGAGATTATCTCATTGCTACGGGTAAATACGTTATATACAACCCACAAAATATTTATGACCAGAATTATGTATTTAAACTTGGTATAAATGTTCTACAATACATCAAGCAAATACGAGTTTAAGCATTTTTGGAAATTCATCCCATAAAGAAGTGAAAGAGTGGATGAAAGTTTGTATGAAACCTACATTTTTAGAGTATTTTATGTAGTTTCATGTACCTATACCTATTATTATTTGATATATTATAAAAACTTTTCTAACGTCTTATCTATTAATTACAATTACGAAAATTAAAAAGCCGATTGCGTAAAAAGGGAACTAAAAAGAAGAGAACATAGTATTATGTAGTCGGAGACATACACACACGCAACTAATATAAAACATGTACACACTACACACATACATACTCGTATATATATGTATGGCTCCGACTGCATAATACATGTTCCTTCGTCAACTTGTTCTCTTCTTTTTAGTTCCCTTTTAACGCAGTCGGGGTTTTTATTTTATTTTTGTAAAAAAATAAATATTTTTATTATTTACAACTTTTTAGTTTTAGACAGTTAGACATTTTAAGTACAAAAAACTATTTTTTATCCTAAATTACTTTTAAACATGTAATCTGTATATATTTTTTTTGTCATTGCCTCTTAAAAACCTTTATTTTGATACCCTACTCGATTGATTTGGGCGAAAAAACTTTTTCCAAGTCACAGAAATTGGCGCTCTGGATCTGCCATTTAGATTTTTAATGATATCTATATATCGTATAGTACTTGCGTTATCAAAACAAATCGAATGAGGTATGATTTATCACAATCGGATAAGCCATTTAGTAATTACGAGAGAACATAGAATTGGACATAGGTACGTACATACAGGTCAAACACATAACCCTTCTTTGGGTTTCGCCGCAGTCGGGAAAAATAGTGTATTATCAAAGATAAATGTGCTTTTTTCATGTGTCTAATGCAACCTTTGGTAAGCATTCTTTTCTAAGTCTTCCGAATATATGTTATATGTAATCTATCTATACTATAATAAAAGAGTAGAGGTCGAATGTCTGTACATAGCAAAAAAATGCTAAAAACCGAGTCAGGGGGATGTAAGAAGACAAATAGAACAAAATCCAGATTTTTTGCAAATTTTTTGTTTCTCTGTCTGTTTGTCTGTTTGTACGGGCTAATCTCCGAATCTATTGGACTGATTTAAATAAAATTTTGCAAGGTGGTACCTTATTTCCCCGGGCAACATCTTAGATACTTTTTATCCTGGAAAATTAAATAGTTCCCGTGGGATAGTTAAAAAACTATAATGACTTATACAGCTTAGTCCACAAAAACTACTGATTTGATTTTAATAAAACTTTACAATAATATAGTTCATACACGATAATAACAAATCGGCTACTTTTCATCCCGGAAAAGTAAAGGGTTCCCGTGGGACAGTCAAAAAACTATAGTAACTTATACAGCTTAGTACACAAAAACTACTGATTGGATTTTGATGAAACTTTACAATAATATAGCTCATGCATGATAATAACAAATCAGCTACTTTTCATCCCGGAAAATTAAAGGGTTCCCGTGGGACAGTCAAAAAACTATAGTAACTTATACAGCTTAGTACACAAAAACTACTAATTGGATTTTGATGAAACTTTACAATGATATAGGTCATACATCAAAATAACAAATAGCTTACTTTTTATCCCGGAAAAATGTACGGTTCCCTCGGGATAGATGGTTTCGTTTATTTGTAACGTATTATGTACACAACATAGACAACACAATAGTTATTCAAAAAATTGTCTGTATGTTTGTTTGTCTGTTTTTGTATGCGCGTTTCACGCGAAAAGTAATGAACCGTTTCAACGAAATTTGGTGAAGTGATAACTTATTACTCGAGTCAACGTTTAGGATACCTTTTACTTCAAGAAACTCTTTCTTTCTCCGGAAAGATACAATAACCGGTTTTATCGAATCCTCCCTAGAAACCTTCCGCTGGCTAAACCTTAAGACATACATACATCAAAACAATATACTAAAAAATTGTAGGTCTTGAAAAGTCCTACAGGAAAGTTCTAAATAGTATATGTATATCTCCTAAGCAATATCTATTCTTATCTATACCTATAATAAAACTAACTTAGTCAAATCGATGTGCGCGTTTCACGCAAAAAGTACTAAACCGATTTTAATTAAATTTTGTATAGTGATAACTTAGTACTCGGGTCAACATTTAGGATATTAAAAGGTATCCTACGACAGGCGAACTATTCATTCCCACGGGAAAACACAATAACTGGTTCTATCAAATTGTCCTTAGAAATTTATATGGCTAACGCTGGCTCAACTTA